AAAGAATAACTGTATGAATTTTGCAGGTAAATGGATGGAATTGGAGACTATCATGCTAAAGGGAAATAAGCCAATCCTAAAACCCCAAAAGCCAAATGTTCTCTCCGATGAGTGGATGCTAACACACAATAATCAGGGGAGGAAAGAATAGAAGTTCATTGGATTAGACAAAGGGGAATGAAGGGAAGTGGGAGATGGGAATATGAAAGACAGTAGAATGAATCAGACATAACTTTCCTATGTTCATCTATGAATACACAATCAGTGAAGTTCCACATCACAAAAACCACAAGAATGGGATCCTTATTAGAATAAGTTATATTCCATGTATATATAATATGTCAAGATGCACCAATTACATACATATTACTATGTATGTATACTGTTATACATACTATATTATATATTATACATAATATTGTACATAATATACATAATCATGCATGATTATATATAATATATGTATCACACATACAAATTACTATGTGTGTATAATATTATACATATATAATCCTATGTATGTATGATACATCTAAAAAGAACAAATAAAAATAAACAAATTTTTAAAATGTGGTGCATTCTCACAATGGAATATATTTCCATCTTAAAAAGAAATGTACTGACACACACTACAGCATGAGTGTACTTTGAAAATGTTAATCCATGTCAAAGAAGCCAGACACAACATATAGCTAATTGTGTGATTCCACTTATGCAAAATAAAAAGAGGAGGCAAATAAATTGAGATATCCCAATAACAATTACTTATGACAGGGAGGTTAGGTAGACTGATGGAAGATATAGGGATTTGATAGCTAACAGTTCAGTATTTCTTTCTTTCTTAATTGATAATATTGTTCTAAAGTTACCTATAGTAATTGTTGCACATATCTGTGAACATAYTAATGTCATAGAACTGTACACTTTAAGTGAGCAAATTATATATGATTTATAGCTTAGTAAAGCTGCTTGAAAGAAACCTCAATAAATATTTTTATTCACCTCTTCTATTTCTAGAGTACTAAAAATAAATTATTAACTTTATCATGATATGATCTTGATATACACCTAGAAAAAGATAATATTTATCTTCTGCAAAGAGATTACAAAGCTACTCTACAGAGTCAACAGGGGTTATGTGATCGAGAAGTAAAGCATGAAAGCATCTTCCTTGATTAATATTGGTCATGCTGTTGAGAAATATTTTATATAACTGTAATAAATGCATATTTAATATGATATTAGTGTAAATGTGCTTAAAATATTATTTATAATAGTGTTACTAGAAATTAGGAAAGGCAGGGGGGAGGAGGGATAGAGGTTGCTTTGGTAGGTACCAAAGTACAGTTTCACAAAAGAAGTTAAGTCCTAATGTTCTACAGCACAGTAGAGTGACTGTAGTTCACTGTAATTTGTCAAATTTTTTAAAGAAYTAGAAGTTCAAATGTTCTCAAGGCCAAGAAATGATTTAAAATATTTAAGGAGATGGAAATACTACTCAAATTTGATCATTTGATATTTTATGCATGTAGTAAATTGTCACATAGTACCATCTACATATGTAAAATTATTATGTGCTAATTTAAGAATAGTTCTTCATGAAGACAGAAAATCTGTAAGTAAACCAAAGAAGGAACAGGCCAATTTTAAGCTTTATTACTTCAGAAAATGATGAATACATTGGGTTCTAATATTCTTTTAAAAATTTTACATGGGAGAAMGCATGCCCCTTCCTTTTACAGAACAAACTTATATGAGTAAAACTGATTAAGATCAGCAAGACAAGAAGAAAATGACACGGTAAACGGTTGTAAATATTACACATGGCCTCCCCCCCTCCYCCCSCCCCAAGGTGCAGAGAGTTTTGCACAGATCAGCTTTACTTCTGAAAAACATGAGAGAACTTACAATATAAGAGCAAGTCATCTTTCATTTAATGTTCCTATTTGTACTTTGGAACATTAAAAACAAGCAGGAAGAACAAATGAATGTGGCTTTGTTTTATATTAGTTTAACTTCGAGATATTTTAAGCTGTTTTCTTAGTCATAGGTTAAATAAGTGAGCAGGGATACTCTTTCTATAAAGATCTCTTTTACAGTAGGAAGCCTGATTCTGACAGATAACATGAAAAATACCATACACAAAGCTTAGCTTAGAGATTTACTATAGAAATACAATATTCACTAATTAATTATTCCGGGGGGTGAGGATAGGTGTGGGGTGGAAATCGTGTGGTTTGGAATTTAAGTCTTCTGATAATTCGATCCACTTGCCTGCAGGATACCAGACAGTCAGCGAAAGATTCTTACAACAAGTTAAAAGGAATTTAAGCAGAGTAACATCAGGAAAAGAAGAAACAAACAAACAAAAAAAAAAACAGAACCGAGAGTCCAAAAGAAAAAGAGGAGGCAACACTGGCCTGGGCGCAAACTAAAAACCGAAAGGTACCATGCTGTAAAGCSGCCGCCTCAAAGACAGAGGTGGGACAGATGGAGGAAGAGACAGTGAGGAGCGGACCTCAGACATCCACCAAGATGCCCCCAGACTTTCCTCCCATTATCCTAGAAGGCAGCTCCCACCCGCAGGCGGCGCTCCAACGCTCCCACCCTCCAGCGACCTACCTGGCTGACCTTGCGCCCGGGCCAGGAGCACCAGCGCCACCGCCAGCGCCCAAGCTTCGCCRGGCATCCCAGCTGCGGTGGGTAGGGCCACTGGCGTCTCAACGCCGGGGCGGCGGGTGCCAGGAGGATGGGCYGCCTCGGGTCTCAGCCTTTCACTCTCAGGCTTGTTCAGTTTTCCCCAAAGCTGGGAGTCCTTTCTCTGGGGCGCCACCAGTCCTTCCCGGAATAGCGCCAGAGCCTTTGTGTACTCCCGCTCCTAGACTCCTCCTCCCAGCCTGGSAGCCTCTGCGCTGAAAACCACGCCCAACCTGTTCTAGGTGAACTGCTGGCTGTGACTCCACCACCTTGGATGTCCCTCGCATTCGCACTGTCAGCGAGGAGCTCAGGACATAACTTGGCATGTAGGTTGTCATGACAAATGCTTAATATTTAGTAATCTTAGAAACTGTTCAGAKGGACGCCAGTGAAAAGAAACCCTGTAAACCAATGCCTTATGTCTACAATTTCTTAATCCCGAAATTGGCGATTAAGATTAATAATTGGCGATTAATAATTAATTTTTAACTAATAATTCATAATAATTGGAGATTAATAGTTATATTCTCTCGTATAATTGACCTTGCTTCCCGAAAGATGCTTCCAACATTTTAGGTCTCAGTGATGAGCAACGTAGGAGGGAGTAGAGATTAATTCTGCAATGATAGAATCCCTCTCCTCTGCCTCCGTAACAGGTTTTCAGAAGTGGAAGGGTCTGAACTCAGATATTACCCAGGTCTATCATGTATATGCGGAGCCATCTCAGTTATCCAGTAGTAAACCTGTAACCCAGGATAGTTCAGCGCATGGCCACTGACCCCCTGCATATGATTTTCAATTCTTTGAATTATCTTTAGGGGTGTGGCTGCCTCTTGCAAAAAAAGTGGCCCCTTTTTTCAGTTGTTCCTATATATTTTTTCATGTCTAGGGATGTCTCCTAGAATTTCTGTGGTAGGCTCAGTCTTGAGTCCCCTTATCTGTCACCCTGCATTGCCCTCTCCTGAGGAGGAAAATGACAATGGTCAGCAGAGGGGAGTCTAGAGGGTCCTGGTGGCCCCCAAGCTTCAGATCACAATTCTCAAGTTGGAGCATTGAGATTGGACTGGGCCTGGAGGGGAAGACAGGAGTTGCCTAAATGCATAAAAAAGTTGCTTTTTAAATTGTTTATATTTCTTTTTAAAATTTGGAAAGGGGTCTTAACCATTTAAAAGTTTAAAACCTGTCTCAAAAAGTGAAAGTATTAAACCATTGGAAAAATAAATTCTTTGTGATGCACAAACTTGTGTTTAGCCCCTTTTATTTATGCCAATGGGTACTCAATCTTCTGGGATAAAAATTAAATATAATATTTTGGTGGGAGGGGTCAGGTGATTTTCCTCTTAAAGCTTAATTATTGATGAACAATTTAATGGGGCCAGGATAAAAATTCAGAGGTTTCTTAGTGTATTTTTGTTTCAGATTATAAAGTTCTGATGAAACTACAACAAAAATAAACCTCAATTTCTTAATCCATTTATGAAATCATCAGGAAAAAAATAATAATTATGATCAGGATCAAATCATAACAGGCCTTATCTGAATTAGTTATCTAACAGTTTCTGTAGAAATGCAATAAACTTGGATAGGTTATTGAAGGACAATATCACTTATCTGACTTCCATTAAACATACAGTTTAAAATATCATAGGGTTATTTTTCCCTTCAGTTTTTGATTTATGACTACCAATCTATATGAGTTTAGACAAAATCTAAAAACAAGTTAAATTATTTCTCAACCCTCAGTAGTGGATTTATCTAAACTCACTTGGCTCTGCAAGAATGTACTGACAAAAAAATAGTCACAGGACTATACAAAAAATTTAAAAAGTAATAAAGTTGGTGTTTTACTATGTGTCTGGTAGGTTAACCAAAAAAATGGTGCAGAATTCCTTTTCTTAATCTTTTTTTAAAATTTTTGAAAAGAAGAAAAACAGCATATKCATGGTACCCTCATTACAGATACTGCGGGTGTTTGTAAAATTCAGTAAATATCAGTGAGAGAGAAACAATATGAATGTCTGAGGGAAGAAATGAAACCAAGAACTAATAAGCACAATATAACTTACATGAAAATATAACTTACAAAGAAAAATCTTGCAGGATAAACTTCAAGTAATAATTTTCTGGAAAAGGAAATAACTCTTGTCAGTTTTCATTTTTTTCAAATGATGATGGGCCTTTATGATCAAAACACCACTTTCAGGAGGCAGACAGGCCCAAGGATTAAGCCTACAAAACCAACACCTGGGTGCTAATCCTAGATCTGCTTCCTCTTTCCTGGCTGTGTAACCTTGATCAGCATACTCACCCCTTCTTATTCTCATTTTTTCTGTATCAGGAGAATGATAATAATATTTACCCCACAGAGTTTAAAAATCAAAAGTGTATGTATGTTTGTGTGTAGTACAGGGGTAAAAGGAGGCTGAAGAGAGAGAGTGTGCTTGGAATAGTGTCTGATTGGGAGTGGCTGTTATGAACAAATATGATAGTTTACTGTTATTAAAACAAGAAGCAAAACCCTACATAATTATACCTCTTCTTATATCTTATTATGAAGGTATGTCATTTCTCAATATTACTCTATTATGCGGTGCTTCATCATCTGGAGCATATTTACTGAAAACACACATTTACATAACATAAATTCCATGTCTGTTTTATTAAATGAGAAATTTCTTGCTCTTTCTCTTAACCACACAAGTTTATGGTAGTTACTGACCCTACTGGGAAAACAGGTTCTCATGCCCAGAAAAAAAAAAAAAATGCTAGGGTTGCTTGTGCGGTTTGAGTTGAACACAAGTACAGGCAGAAGTAGAAGCTAAGCCTTTTTGACTATGGGTGTAGTCAAACAGTGAAAGCAGATCAGTGGAGAGAAAAAGACAAAGCTGAGTGCTCCAAGAGAAGTTTGACATGAAAATACACATGAGAATAAAAGTAAATCACGCTAGTACACAGAGATAGAAGGAGAGAGGGGAACTGTAGGGAGAGAAAGAGAAATAGAGACAAACGAACAGAGGGGTAACCCAATTACGATGATTTTTTCACTCTATAGCTCCAAAATCTTTTGAGGACCACTTCTATTTCCTGCCCTAAAGTTCTGTAAAATATTCCCAATATATTATTCATGAACTGGGTTTAAATAAGTTTGAATTTGTTTTTATGTTTGGCTTTATGTTTTTGTCATTTACAAATAAAAGAATATTGTGCAACATCATGGAAAATATATGCCCTATAAATGATTTTGTTGTGCTAATACATTTTGATAGAGAAGGAAAAGAAATTGCAATCATGATTTACTTTTAAATGTTACAGTCATTTTTGAGAAGGAAATAAACTACCATTTGGCCATACAACTGATGCAATCAAAAATTATTGGGAAAAGTATAGTTTGATCATTCACGGAGTAAAAAGAATCAGCAGATAAGCTCAATATCTTTCACAAGAAGATAATTCAATGTTAAAAAGATTGGAATATGTTTTTATTTCCAAGTAGTCTGATGCCACTTATAAATGATTAATAACTTTATTGTGATAGGCTACAGACACTGTAACTGAAAATAACTACAGCAGAGACGGAGGTAAGATTCACTAGTATTGAGGCTCATCAAATAAAATTTGCCAAATATATCTTATCTTTCTTTCTCATTCATAGGCTGTTTTCTCTCTTGTTGCCCTTTTCCTGCATTTAAAATAGTTTCCTATTTTTAAAATTATTTAAAAATTAATGAGAAAAAGCTGGATGAATAAAGAAACAGCTTTATCTTTTTAAATTGCTTTAATGAAGAAAATMATTCAATATCGGAAAAGAGGAAGCCCTTAAATCTGCATTATAAAAATGTTTTGCATATTATATGCTTACTTCATATAGATCTAGAATTATGGAAAATCATAATTTTGGAAAGGAAAATAGTTCAAGCAAGTCATTTATTTAGTTGTTCTTAGAAAGCCCTTTTCAAATGAGGTCTTGCAGGTTTTTTTTAATATCTGAAATAATTAGGATGAACTTAATTCTAATTAGCATATAGTAAATTCCTGATAAATATTTGTGAAAAAGATGAAGAAATAATAAGAGCATTTATATAATCTGTACAATACGGTATGTGGTTTTTGATGTTTTTAGCTACAACTTATTGAGTATTATAACAATCTTACTATGTGGGTAAGATGTGGGTATGATGAACCAATAATAAATAAAAATTACATGCTGCATTATTAGTAATTCACCAAACAATTTTTTCAAAAACAGACACTCTGATGTGTGGTTTTTTTATCAACTATTATATTATGAATGAATGATGTTCAGTAAATGAATAATTGGAACTACATACTTGCTTAGGGTGCATGTAGCTCATTGTTAAAAAACCTTTAGCTATATAAAATTTTAATACTGTATCTCACATTGTGACTTAATGGAATTTTGATAAAATGTACATTAATAATGCTGAAGTCTTTCATTGAATCTTATATCAGTTTATGAAATAAACATGCTATATATGAAAAAAAGAAAAAGAAAGCCCCTCTAAACTTGGCTCCTTCTTTATAGTCTTCCCTGTTCTGAAAAATGGCTCTACTTGGTTGCCTTCCTAAGAAACCAGGAAGATATTCAGAGGCCTCTCCCTTCTCTGTCTTTCACTGTTCTACCTCAAAACCATCTATTGATATACATAAGCTCTGCTAATACACTGGTCCAGACCACCATCGGGGCTGTTGAGGGTCACTATAAGAAAACACCATCTTCAGAGCTTGTGCTTCAGTCAGTCTGGCTTCGCACATTTTATCTCTGCCATATAATATTTAGGGCGAACTTTTACATTGTAAATCACACTATGTGTCTATCTGGAAATCTTTCACAGCCCTCCTCCCATAGGTAACATGTAAAAATGCTAATAGAACTATAAACTTCAACACCTGGCACTGCTTTATTCTTCAAACATAAATACCTTCTATTTTATAGAAATAAAAATATTTTCTGTTTAATTACCTTTTGCTTTT